TTTGACAGCTCTGTGCAAGCCAGTGCATTCCCTTTAAGGCCCCTTTATACCAGCAGAATGGCAAAAAGAAGCAGGGCTCAACTGTGACTCTCTCCTATATGTCTGTTTCCTTCATCATTGAGCCTGATCTACGCTATGATGTTAGGTCAAAATAAATTGCCTAGTGTCGACCTATTTGTGCCTGTGTCTACACTCAAATTTGTCTTCTGCTGACATAAGTGCCCTGTTATGGTGACGCTGTAAAACCATCTCCCAAAAAGCTGTGGAATCATGGTCGACCTACTGAAGTCGACGCAGTCCACATGTCGATAACTGCACATGTATTAACCCTAACAGTGCTCTAGCAGCTGTCCCACAATGCCCCATTCCCTGTGACAGTGACTGCTCTGGTCACAGTTGTGAACTTCACTGCCCATACACCACAGAGACTGGAAGCATCTCCCTACCCCCTTACAACCTCTCACATATTTTTGCAATGCCTTTTCCTGATTGCCCACCTTGACAAACACACCTAGCAGCATTCTCTTGTTATGTGCAACTGCCCAACCAGCCATGCTGGCTCCACGCACTAGACACACTCCTGCCTTGATAAACAGGAGGTATTGGATCTCCTGAGCCTGTGGGGAGAAAAGGGTGTGCAGGCAGAGCTACAGACCAGCTGTAGAAATGTGGACATTCACAAAAAGATTGCGGGCAAAGGGCACTATAGGGATCAGCAGCAGTGCCATGGGAAAGAGAAGGAACTGTGGCAGACATACCACAGGATCAGGGAGGCCAACAATTGATCTGGTGCTGAGCTGCAGACTACTCTTAGAATGAGCTGCATGCCATAGCTGGCAGAAATCCTGCAGCATCCTGCAGACCACTCTGGATTCCTTGGAGGAGCCTGAGACAGAGGACCCCTGCTGTGGACAGAGAGGAGGAGGAGGAAGAGGAGGGGGGAGATGCGGCTGACAGGGTCCAGCCATGCCACAAGCCAGGACCTGTTCAAGACACCACCACACTCTAGCCAGTCTCAGCAGTTGAGCATGGACAAGCCCAATGAAAGGGAAGGGATCTCAGGTAATGGTGTGCAGGTATTTTGTCTTGCAATGTTTAAATTTAAAGATGGTGCCTGGCCCATCCCCAAGGTATCAGGACACAGGTATTGACATTTCATTGTTTTACTTGTACAAGAAGAGGTAGCAGTACAACAAACAGAGGTAGGGTTATCTGCTTTTCATTCCCCTCTAGGGTTAGGCTGTTTCTGTACTAGGGCTATCCCTTGTATCCTCCTGAGATCTCGATGAAACTTTCATTGAGATATTCTCCAATCCATTCCTGAAGGTTTCTAGGGATGGCTGCCTTATTTCTTCCTCCACAGAAGGACACTTTCCACAACAAGCTCACAGGCACCATTGCAGTACACAGGCTAGTGGCATAAGGGCCTGAGCAGTTTCAGGATGCCAGTAGCCTCTGGGATTTCTGTGTCTTTGTTAACCCTCAGGAGTGAGATATCGTCTAAAATCACCACCACATGTGGAAAATACTACCTATATTCAGTTCCATTGCCCTAAAGCTGTATCCGTGGAATAAGGACCCAAATATTATTGTCTTGTGCAACCAGCATTCCTCCCCATCTAACATTCCTGCTGGGCCATACTCATCATGCTTGGGGCTGGAGAGTCGGGCTGTGAAGAAGTGCTTTAAAGCTGGAGTCTCAATAAACATGTCTTACTGAAAGTTATGGCAGTAAGAGAAGGGAGTTTTGAAATTTATCTTTCCCTTTCTGTTGTGATTGTAAACCCAATGATACATCTGTCTGTTTTATCTGCCATTGTAGACTTGAGAGGTAACCCCTCCACACCAACAGAATGCCTGACCCTGATGAGGAGAAAGAAGAGGATGAGGGAGAACGTGTTCAGCAAAATCCTGCAAGCCAATGATGTGTTGGATTGCAAACAAAGGGCCTGGAGGGCCAACATCGCAGACAGCATGGAGAAGGAGAGAACAGAGAGGGAAAAAGACTAGGAAAAGGAGAGGGAGATGCACCAGGACATAGTGGGCCTTTTCAGGCAGCAAATACCAATGCTGCAAAAAATGCTGCTTGACCTACAGGTCCAAAAATCTTAGCATCCCCATCCTTTGCAGTCCTTGGAGAATTCCATACCAGCAGCTCCCTACACCCCTCAACATTCCATGTGGCTTCACAGGCCACATCCATACCCTCACCACTCCATGCCCAGGGACAGCCAGGAAAACCACAGCTTCACACACACAGACCTGTGAGAATCACAGTTGGTGTATGTGCAACCACCACAGACTCTTTGTGCACTGAAATGGATAGAAATGTTTTCTGCCTCTCCAGTTTTAAAGTTCCATCATGTTAATTTACCTTTATAGATTGCGTCGCGTTGTCTGTTGTTTTTTTGCACTGTTTTTGTCACTCAATACATTTCTATTTTTTGAAAATAAAATCACCTTTATTAATTCACAACACATATTGCAGAATGCCTAATGGTCCTCAGCATCCAGTGTAGAGCATCACAGAACTCATAGGTTCAAGAAAACACCTGGTCATATTTATGAATGTATAGTAAACACTGCATGATTCCTAGCTTCAGTAAAATACACGGTCCCAGTTATACATGTAGAGCAAGCACTGCACAATTCCCACCAACACCCAAAGCTCCAGGCCAAGAACACTACAGTGATGGCCTGTTAAAGTGCTCTTCCCAAGCCTCCCTCAACCACATAGCTCTACACTGGGCTCTTGTAATGGCCCTTGTGTCTGGCTGTTCAAACTCAGCAAACAGCCACTCCACCTCCACTCTGGTGGCAACTTTTCCCACTCTGCCTCACAGACGTGATGCAGAAGTCAAGACCCAGCAGGCAGCGATAACCACTGGGACCGTTTTCTCACTGAGATCTAGTGTAGTGACTAAATACCAGTGCCCCTTCATTCTACCAAAAGCACATTTAACTGTCATTCCACACCTGCTGAGTCGGTAGTTGAATCTTTCCTTGGTGTTGTCAAGAGGACAGTGTATGACTGGCAGAGAAGCAAGGGATAGGCTGGGTCCAGAATCACTCCTGGCATTTCAATATCACCAATGGTAATCTGCCCATCAGGAACAAATGTCCCTGCTTGCAGCTTTCTGAATAGTCCTGTGTTCTTAGAGAGGTTAGTGTCATGCACCTTCCCTCACCAGCCTACACTCATGTCAATGAAGCATCCCTGGTGACCAACCAATGCTTGCATAACCATAGAAAAGTACCCTTTCTGTTGATGTACCAATGGCAAGGTGGGTTGGTGCCCAAATAGGAATGTGTGCGCAATCTATCACTCCACTGCAGTTCAGGAACTCCGTTGTTGCAAATCTATCCACTATGTCTTGCATTACCAAAAGTCACAGGCCTGCATAGCAGGAGATGCTTAATGGCCCTACATATTTGTGTGACAATGCCCCCCACTGTGACTTGTCCAACTCCAAAGTGATTTCCCAGTGACCGGTAGCCATCTGGTGTTGGAATCTCCTTCCTTAGAAGTTTTTAAGGTCAGGCTTGACAAAGCCCTGGCTGGGATGATTTAATTGGGGATCGGTCCTGCTTTGAGCAGGGGGTTGAACTAGATGACCTCCTTGGGTCCCTTTCAACCCTGATATTCTATGATTCTATGATTCTATGATCTTCCGGAGGGCAATCAACACACACTTCTCCACTGTCAGTGAAGCTTTCATTCTGGTGCCCCTACGCAGGAGGGCTGGGCTGAGCTGGGCACACAGATCCATGAGTGTGGCCTTTTGCATCCAGTCTGCAACTGCTCCATGAATGCCACCCCCTAAACCTTGAATTGTTTTTTGCTATGTCCTTCAGCAATCTGTCATCAAAGAAATTGTCAAGTTCCATCATTGTTGCGGTTCCTCTTGCGGGCCTGCAAGTACAGAAATATTTTGCATCCTTTATTTGTAAAGTTCATGAGAATAGTGCAGAACTCTACAGGCTCCATGCTTCTGTCAGAGATGGCACACACCAAAAAGTGCCATGTCGGTTGTGGTATTTAAAAGCATAAGTGTGAAAATTATGGGCTATGGATGGCATTATGGGATGGAGACAATTGCATGTTGGGGACTTGACACCCTAGCTCACAGAGATCCCTGAGTAACTCAGTTCTACCCCCACCAGCACATAGTGAAACTTTACCAAAAGGCATTGCAGCAAATGGTGGCATGTGGCACATGGGGATACATACCCGTGGTGCACCACACTTCGCATTGACACGAGCACTCCTGGTGGGTACATGCAGCGCAGATACAAGCAGCCAAGTATTCATGTGCACAAACGATGTACACACTTTAGTATCTGTATGATGGCATAACTTGTGTTAATGAAAGTTTATAGTATAGATGTGGCCTGAGTGAATTAGCCAGTATATAACACTCTCTGCATGAAAGCTGGTGGAAGGAGCTGGCACTAATTACTGAGATCAACACATAGACCTGGTGGAATTATGAGCTGCTTTGGCTCCTCCTTCCCATGTAAAATTGCAGGAAGGTGCTATAGAGCACAAGCAGGGGAGAATAAGTTGCCGGGCCCTCCCCACACACTTCCAGAAAGGGGTTGTGCTGGGGTTAAGAAAGCCCACCTCAGGCCTTGGGCTAAGGGAGAGTATCATTCTATTCTTCTCCCTGCCACTCTGAGGCAAAGAATATGAGGAGCTGGGAGGAAAAGCTGGGGGGAAGGAGGAAGGTATTTGGAGGAACACGGAAGTTCTGGTGGATCGATGCTTCTCCTCTAGCCTTAATTCTAGCAGGATTTTCAAAATCACCATAAGCACCTCTCAGCATCTTTAGGCACTTACATGCCTTTAACAATTTGGCCCTGAGCCTCTATCACCACATGCACATAGACGTGGTGAAACTAGAATCCTAACAATAACACAACACTCTCTCTCCTCCCCCTGCACTGGTCACTGGAGGAAAGTTAATAAAATAGTTCCTTTCTTTCTCCGTCCTCCTAACCAGCATGTTGCACTGTGCCTTTGTAACCTCTTCCTTAGCTGAGGTATAAAATAATAATTTCAAGCCATTTCACTACAGTGGGAAAGATGCCTGGGATCATGTCTCTGAAATCTTGTTATCTGAAAGCTGCTGCCTCTACTCTGGGATTGCCAGGGTCATGAGACATTCATCAGGTAAGTGTTTTTCTTTTAAGCAAACCACACTTTTAAAGTTACTAATTCAGATTGCAAAACAATTTAACTTCTGGGGTCAGATCCTTCAGCTAGTATAAACTGTGTGACAGTGGAAATCAATGATGTTATGCCCATGCACCCAAAGGTGCCAAAGTCCCATTTTCAAAAGTGACTTAGGGGCCTACTGGGACTTCGGCTCCTCAAACACTTAGGTGCTTTAGAAAATGTTACCGCTGCTCCCTGATCTTAGTTTCCTTCTTAAAAATTCTTCCTTGGCTCTGCCCCCTACCCTCTTTCTATGAGCTCTTTTGCTGTGGCTGTACCCAGGTGGGCAGGTGAAGGTGCCTGCCCTTAATGGTAGCTCCCTTACTGACTTCAAACAGGAATTCAGCATGTTCTTTAACACACCTGACTCCCTCAGCCCAGCTAGCACAGGCATAAATAGCAGTGTAGATGGTGAGGCATGGCTTAGGAGTGTAGAGTGCCCTGCACACCTGAACCCCTAGAATATGTGGCCTACACGGCTCTTTACACACCCAAGGAGTGCCCCTCATGTTGGCATTGCTGCTTTTAGCAGTGTAGTGTCATGCTGCCGGAGCCTTTCCCTGCTGCCTCCTCCTTCCAAAGCCACATGTAGCTACACACCACAGTGACAAGTGTGGTCGCAGCCTGCCTTTCACTGCGGTGTGTAGCTACACGTATCCTAAATGCCACTGCAAGTGTCAATGAGGCTTTTGTCTGGCTAGCTGTAAAATATTCACCTTCCTCACAGATGAATTATGGTACAGGGGCATGGTTTTAAAAATAGAATTCTGAAGTGAGGCTCCTAAATCCACATGTAGTCACCTAAATAGGTGGCCTGACTTTTCCAAAGCACCGAACCCTCAACCGCTAGCTCCTAATGAGGTCAGTGAGAGCCACTGGGTGTTCAACACTTTGGAAAATGAGGCCCTAGAAGCGCAAAGCAAACTTCTGCACATGCACGGAGTCCCACTGAATGGTGCTCACTCTGCCGGGCAGCATGCAGGTATAGCGGTCCATCCCCAAACCCCGTACAGTGCAAGATCAGGGCCCAAGTGTGTGATTTGATGGCCTGTTCGATTAATCAGCATATGTCACAGAGCTAGCTAGCTATAGCTATAGATAACACTGAAACCACATCACAACCAAAAGGAATTTATTTGAAAAAGGTGGAGATATAGGATGTTGAAATGGAAACTACATTTAAGTCTTAATTATATTAAACTGCTTTGGTCTGGGGGGAACATTGGTTAAGTTTGATTTTGAAAATTAGGTCCGCATAAACATAATTAACTCTTTTCACTGGAGATTTTAGTTTTTCTGCAGAATATTTAATATTAAAATATTTAAAGAGGAAAATTAATTTTCCCATGAGACTCTCAAGCTTTGAATATGACAGCTAAAATGGATTGTTCTTAAGTGCACAGAAAATCCATAGGAGAAATAAAAAAGTTGACATACTCCCTAAGGAGGACCCATGCAGACAATTAACCAAATCCCCATGATCATTAGCTTAAAGATCCACATAATGGCTTAATTGCTTTGAGTTGCTGAGAGTGTGGCACTGCAGCCAGATGCTTGCTGTGAAGTGTGTGATTCCCAGAGACATCCATCAGGCTTCAGTGAATTGACTTTCCATGCTAATTGACCTAGATGTGCTTGATTTTTAGCTCACTATCTCCACTTCGTTCAATCACCAGTGTGGAGGAGGGAATGGGGAACAGGACTGTTTATCTCTCATCCTATATTAAAAAGGAAGCTTTTCCTAAAACATTATTTTGTGGTGCTGTGTGAACTGCTCAACTTGAACTGCAACAGCAATTATTCTGCCTTGGTTTGTTCTTTATCATCCATCGATCTGTATCAGACTCATTCTTCCTGTAAGCAGAATATTATATCTTCTCTGGTACTCCTACCCTCTGCTCAGCCAACCAGGGAATAGGTCAGATGATGTTGTTTCTATCTCACCAATCAGAACTAAGAAACACAGCTGGAAGTTCCAATGTTCCAATGTTTTACTCTATAGAGTGTGTGTTATGTACTTCCCCAGGGTGCAACCTGGAACTGGGGTACCGCTGAACCCTCTGTCTTACCAGCCTTGGCTCCCTCTCATATTGTGATGCTGTGACAAGCTGCAGACCCCTCCAGGTTCTGCGCTTACACAGCCATTTACAGACAGGGACACACCCAGCTGAGTTACATGAATGCTTTCGCCAGCCATTCATGAACCAAAAATAGAGGGGTTCAAACCATTCCCCACAGCTCCCCAGCCTAGGACCCCAGAGCTGTACCATCTTGCCTTGGTCAGAAGCCTGACCAGTGTAAGTTTATTACCCAGTCTGCCCCTCCCTCAGTGTGAAGAGGACAATGCACCAGCCCTTGTTCCTGAGCAGATTTCCCTTTGCACTTCAACCAACACACCATTTGAGGTAAAAAAATAGAAACCAGATTTATTAACTACAGAAAGATAGATTTTAAGTGATGATAAGTAATAAGTGTATAAATCAAAGTAGATTACCTAAGAAATAAAACAAAATTGCAATCTAAGTTCTATAAACTAGACAGGATTTGAATCAAGCAGTGTCTCACCCTGATGGCACAAACAGTTCACCAGTCTTCCATACACAAGCTGGGATTCCTCCTTTCCTACCTGGGATCACCTCCCCAGTTCAGACTTTGTACCTAAGGTGTTTCCAGGTGTTGAGCTGTGAGGGAAGTGAGGCCAAGTGATGATGTCACTTCCCCCTTTTATAGCTTCTTTTATGTCAAGGAAACGTTTTTGTTCAAAACAAAGTCCCTAGCCCAGTTTGTGGAAAAGTACTGGCACAAGATGGAGTCCAGTATCACATGATCTAGTCACATGCCCTTGCATGCTTTGATGAGCCATAGCAGTTATTATTCATATACTGGCTGAAATGTCCATAGGAAAACCCATCAGGTGTGCATAAGCTTCTTCTATGGCCTATAGTGTTTCTTAATTGACCATCACCTTGAATGGTTCATTCACAATGTGCTAGGTAGATTGGATGTAAACTGCCTTCTGGGTGTCACCCCAGGAGCAGACACATTTGAAATACTGGTACATAGTCAATATTCAGAACTTCAGATACAATGACAGCACATATCATCCAAGAGGATATTAATGTTCAATAGATCAAGACTTTTAGAATGATACCTTTCAAGGCATACTTTGTACAAAACATATCATAATTATATCATCATGGTAAATATGGGGGTGTTGCTTTAGGGTAAAGAGTGTCACAGCGTGATAGAAAAAAGAATCTAATAAATTTTAACAATTAATAAATTGAAGGGAATCATGATATGGTAACTGAATAGCCACAAATAGAAAAAAGGGTTACATTGCTGAATAAATTTTTAGGGGAGTGGGAAAGTCCATTACGGCGTTAACTACACAGTGTGTGGGTATATGTAAAAATACAATATTTTGGTTTTTTACTATTGAGATCTATAAATTCATTGTCAAATTACATATTTTTGTTTTTCAAACATAAGGGACTAAATTCTGCTACATTCCTGCAATCCCAGTGAAGTCTTTCTTTTATTATGACGTGTTCTCCCTGGCTGTATGGAGAATTCCAAAGTCTACCATAAGGAGCACTTTATGATTCCAGAAAAAACAGGCAGAAAAGCTGGTATATATATGTACATTAAAGTCACAGTGGAACAAATTCTGTGCTCATTGAAGAAAATGGACTTAGTTTGGATTTACACTGTTGTCACTGAGAGTAGAAATGTTGCCAGTTAGCTATATTGTGTAGTAACCACCAGAATAATGTCATGTTCAGTGGAGTTCACTGACTTCATTAAAGATTGTATTCCATATATGGTCAGGTTTCATTGTTTTATATAAAGGATCCCTTCCAAATTGCTGATTCATGCTGCTGAAATATGTCTGGTGATTTCTCTGAACTGGAATGACTGTCGAGATCCATGGAGATCAAACTGTGGAGCCACACATGGACTCAGCAATTTGGCAACCGCAGACTAAAACTTTGGCAGTATCATATTCACAACCCAGATGTTGGAGGGTTCGACCACAGCATGCAACCTATTAGAGTTGAAGACGGGCTAAACGTTGTAATTTACTCTTCTGAATTTAGATACTAAAGGCTGGTAATGTCTTTAATGATTTTATCCAATCATTAAGGGCCAGATTATTTGCTATACATACAACCCTGAAGAGGAGATCTGAGAGGATCTGAGGAGATCTGAGAGGTGAAATCCTTCCTTAAACAGCCCACTTAGACACAGTGTGTCACCTTTAGGATACATGCTCCTTTTGCCCTTCCACTTTCCCCATCACATATGTACGTAAGATCCAGTCCCAATTTGTTCTGAAAGGGAATTACATGTACAGATGTATATAGTATTAACAAAAGTGATACCAGGGACCCTCTTGCTGAGTGCCACCACTGAGCAGTAGGACTTTGTGGAGTCTCATAAACTAGAGATGGAAAGGTCAGTGGTGCCTGGTCTTAAATTGAATTAGTTCATCCTTAGATTAAGGTCCTTTTTATAAAGGTTCATAAATTCTTACTAGATGTTTTTAATAAAGAGCTAATCAGTTATTATTGAGGCTCTGCTTAACTTGTGTTATTGTGGAAATTGAAGATTCTGCAATATTAGGCTTCCACCGCAATTTTGACAGAAGGAGCCTGCTGTGCGTGGGGCTGAAAGTGGGAACTGCAGCTGCCCCAGGGCTAAGAGCAGAAGTGCCTACTGTCAGTCCTGAGCTGCTTTCAGCTCCAGGCAGCTGACAGAGGGAGCCCCCACTATCAGCCCCAGGCCCATGGTCTGATCCAGGCTTCCCCCACTCTCCGCCCTGGGTGGACGACAGTGGAAAATTGCTGAAAAGTAATGGACTTTATTACCGCACATAATAAGGTCCATTATTACTTTTCCACAATTTTCCATGGCTTGTACACAACTTAGCTGCAATTTGTTTTAGAATCATC